TTGATTCATATTTCTCTTATTATTAGTGACCTGAAGCATTCTTCTTATGGTTATTCATAGTTTGTGATTTTCTTTGGAAGGCTATTTTGCTTATGTTCTTTGACCTGCTCTTTGGTCAGCTATGTGACCATGAGCAGGTTAGCTGCTCAGAGTCTCAGTTCCTCTTCTGTAAAATGCAGATAATCATATTTTCACTGTCTACTTCACAGAGTTGAGGATCAGCTGAGATATATACATATAACACTTGGTATATGCACATCTATCTATCTATCTATCTATCTATCTATCTATCTATCTATCTATCTATCATCTATCTATCTGTGGACAGACAGATAAATATAAAATGCTATGTAATACAAATTACTATTTTTTTTGTGTGTCCACAGGACTTAGCTTCTTAGTACAATGTTTGACACATAGTAGGATAATAGGTATTTAGTAAATGCCTGTCGACTTGACATTATCATGATCTAACTGGGAGGCAAGGCTTTACATTGTATTTTGTTTTGCCACGGCCACTCTAGGCACTGACTTTACCTGATTGCTTCCACCACCCTTCAGCTGAGGCCGTGTATATAACCAAAGCACTTGGCAGTTATAAAGAGCTATATAAAGACAAGCTATTATTATCAGTGTTTAAGTGGAAAGTAAGATTACAAACTGTGCTTAATTGGGGACAGAACCACTGAGGGACCTGGTCTCTCTGATTGCCCCTGTAACGTTCCTGGGGGTTCTTACCCTGAGGTCTGTCAATATTTTTAATCATTTTGATACGTGTATTTGAACATAATTGGCTTCTTTTGTAATCTTGTGTATCTTATGTTGCACATGTAAAACCGTTATTCTCAGAAGGGAGTCATAGGCTTCACCAGTCTGCCAGAGGGGTCGTGACACATGCAAAAAAGGCTAAGAACCCTCGTCCTAGGGAGACATATCTACATTCTCAGCAAGATACAAATTGTGCCAGCTCTTTAGGCCTTCATTCCCACCTTCTCACCCCCATCTCCACTGTGAAAAACTCTATAGTTGTTCTTAGCTTCCCCATGGGGCAAAAAGATATGACTCATCAGCAGTCAATGTAGCAGAGAACCCTCCCTAGTGAAAATATCTGTACATTTGCTTTCTTCATTAATCCATTGAGTCCTATCTCTATGAGATGTGAATCCTGACACCCACCTCCCCTTCACTCCTGCAAAATTTCTCACCTAAGAAATCATCTTGACCTTGCCAAACTTTAGTAAACATGATCATTTCCATATACTAAGAAGAACAGAAAAGGAGAAGTATGTATATGATGTTACAAACTTCTGTTACGTATATGACTTGTTATTTTAAAAAAAAGGTTTATTTCAAATTAACACTGTTTAGCTGTCCTATATGTCTGCCTCCCTCAGAACTGCTCCTTTCTGTGCATTTTAATGCTATTTTTGAAGAAACACTTACATTTTTTGACACTGATGTTGCTATTTCTCCCCAACCTCTTGCCCCCCCCCCGCAAAGCCCTCCCTTGTAACAAAAAAGCTTAGTCAAGCAAAACAAATCCATATACTTGCCATGTTTGAAATGTATGCCCCACCCCTGAGTTTTTCTTGGAGAGATTTGGTGGATCATATATTTTCTTTTCAACTCAATTCAAGACATATTTTGTGGAAAATATAAACCTTATTCTTCCCCTTCTTTGTGTAATCACTTCTCATACCAGCATGCCTGTGGTAGGTCCCAAATCTCTCAAATCATGGGATGTGATACATAAGAAAAAGGAGACAGCTGTATAGGACTGTGGCTCTAGAACTAGAAGGGACCCTCAGACACCATGTATTCCAACTCCTTCATTTTACAAATGAGAATATTGATAGCTGTTGCTATTATCAATCAATCAATCAACAAGCGTTTGTTAAGTGCCTACCATTTGCCAGGTACTATACTAGGTGCTTAGGATACGAGTATGAAGAATGAAATGATCTTGACTCATGAGGAGGTTACTTTCTACTGGGGAGGACAAGAATATATATAAGTATATAGAGAATAAATACAAAATAGTTGAATACAAATGACTTGTCCAAGATTTCAAAGATGGGAAAGGTCAAATAAGATAGGATGCCAAAGGTGGTATTTGAACCCAGCCTCTCTGAATCCTCTGAATTTTATACTATTTTAGGTGGCTTTCAGCACATTCATTAACCAGAAATCCACTGCCTGAGGGTATAGGTGTCTTAGATGGAGCTGAGGTGTGTCTTTCCTCTGTGTAATACTTCTACAGGGTTGGGCAGTTCTGCTTGCTCCAGCATCTCTGTAGGTTGAGGTGAGCCTGGGGCTATGAGTTCTTCGGTGAGATCAGCATCGAGCGACTCTGATACACCCCACTGGAGTGAGTCAGGGCGTCAGCTAGGCACAAGCTTTTGCACGTGGCTGGCTTGTCATGGTCTTATGTTTCTCTTGCCCCGTGATATTATTATTGAAAAAGGAGTAATCAAAGCGAGACTTTGCAGTGTGCTGCATTACTTCTGAGTCCCTTAGATTTTAATGTCCCATGTGCACCCACAGGCAGGGAGATCGGCCTAGGAGAAGAGTTCCATATCCCCGGGTCAGGGCTGTGATGGGGTAAAACAGCCTTGTTTTTTCTTCTCAGATTTTTCCACTTCCCCAACAGCAGTGAATATTGCCTGGGCCGAGCACCTGGCACATAGGAAGATCTTATTAATGCTTGTTGGCTGACTGACTGATTGCCACTACCCACTGCTGCTGACTCTCCCCTCCCACTGCTCTTCCTAGTCACTTAGTAGACTGTCCTTATCGTCCTGGGCTTCTTTATCTGTAAACCCAGGCCCTGTAAATACAGAGAAGTATTTATAAAGGGTGTTTTACTCATCAGGACTAGGGGCCCTGAGTATAAGTGCCTATTGTTTTCTCATTATTACTTTGATATTTCAGAAGGGGTGGCAGGGTACAATGGGGAAAAGTGCTGAATTTGGAGTGAGAGAATCCGGGTTCAAATCCCAGGTCTGCCATTTATTGCCTATATTACTTTGGCCCAGTCACTTAGTCTCTCTTGGTCTCAGTTTCCTCAACTGTAAAAAAAAAAAAAGGTGGGGGGGATCGGATTAGATGTCTTCTAAAGCTCTTTCCAGATCTAAATCCAGGGTCCTAAGGTAAGATTGGGGTCCTCAGTTAATAATTACAAAGATTTAAATCTAAGAATAGTCAATCTTGATGAAGTTTTTAATGTGTGAACAAGGTGATGATCTCTTTATAGGTATGAATTCCTCTCAAACAAGCTAACAACACCTCTGAGGTCTTTAAATAGGATAAATTTCAGCAGCTGATTCAGTTCAGCAATGAAGCAGTCAAACTGTGATAGATTCCAGACATAGGATCACCTTGAGGTGGTAGACCCTTGTGATTGTTCCAATCAGCAATGTCAATGAGAGTGACCCCGTCTACCAGAGAAGAATGTTAGGACTTTGTGTTTTCAGGAAGATAATTTAGAAAGAATGTTTTATATCAACTATTCTTGATGGCTAAGTGGTGGTATGGATAGAGTACTGAGCATGGAGTCAGGAAGACTTGAGTTCAAATCTAGCCTCAAACACCAGCTGTGTGACTAGCTACTTACTAATGTGACCCTGGACTAGTCACTTAACCTCTCTTTGCCTCAGTTTCCTCAATTGTAAAATGGGGTTAATAACAGTACTAACTTATAGAGTGATTGTGAGAGTCAAATAAGATATTATTTGTAAATTGCTAGCATAGTGCCTGGCACTATATAAATGTTTATTCCCTTCCCTTCTCCTTTCCCTGTCCCCGTGCTATCTGAGTAAATACCTTTGCTAAAAGCTAGTTAAGCCTACTGGCTGATTGTTAATGGGAAGCACAATGGGGGCTCATTAACTCTATAGAATTCCCAGTAGGGTAGTAGTTAATCTTCTTCTGGTGACTCAACCTTCACTGTGAGTATGAGCCGGTGAAGTGACCATGGAGGGGGGTGATAGATCCACTTTGATCACTGATTTTATCAATGCTAATAATCCCTTCACTAATACAGAGCATACCCTGCTGCCTTAAGAGATAGAGCTGAATAGTAGATATACACTAGTCTTGGAGCAGGAAGAACTAAACTGACATCTTGCTTTAGATGCCTAGCTATGTGACCTTGTCAATCCATTTAACCTTATTGATCCTCATTTTTCTCAACTGTAAAATGGGGATAATAATAACGCTTACCTCACAGAGTTGCTGTGAGGATCAGAAGAGATAGAGCTCTATAAATGTGAGCTGATAGTAACAGTAATAATAGTAGATGTAGTCCTAATTATTCAATAAATAGATGATGCCCTGGCCTTTGGTTTGACAAATTGTTTCTCGGAACCAAAAGTAATTGATTCCTCCTGAATCAGCCTAAAGTTGGAGCTTTAGGAGGTTACACCTCTGTAATACTGGGTCAGTTGCTAAAAGGGATCCTGGAAGTCATGTAATACAACTGTCTCAGAGTGGTCAAAGGACTTGATCAAGGTCACATATAGAGCCAGGAGTCAAACTCATATCCTTTGACAGTGTTTATGCCACAATACTGTGAATCCTCTGTAACTGCCATTAAAACACACACACACACAGAGTGTTTATCTCAGCTTTTACTAGGTTCACACAGAATTTTATTAAACTGTTGACATCTAAATTCCTATGATTTCCAAAGATGAAATTCTACCCCTACAAGCATTTCCGTATTAAGCATTCCACACTGGGTTTGGGGATGGGTGGGTGGAGTGAGGGGGATGAAGGGGGGGAGAATTCCCATTCATAGCCTTCTAAGAGATTCTAGAGCTCTGGAGACTTCTCACGACCTCAGGCAAACCAGGCCTCCAGGGAAAGAATGTAAGTGCTTGGACCGCAGTGTGTAAGGGAAAGGGCTTCCAGCCCCATCACCACAGCAGCCCACAGAGTTCACAACACTTCCTGCCCTGGGTCTGAGCTTCAAACTGCATCAGGAAACCGAGTGTCTTAGATGAAATGTTTCTGGCTCAGCCGAGCCTTCCTTTAAAATAGTCACATTATCTGTCACATTGGTGACAACAACAAATGAAAGAAATTGGACATTAATTTGCTCCCTGAAAAGCATTGGGAAGAATACAGGGTGAACAGATGTTTCCTTTCTGAGGCATGTGGGGGCCTGAGAATGAAAGGCAAAGGAAGCAAGCAGAAAGATGAAGATGGTTCCCCTAACTGGCACTTTGGATTTCGAAATCCTACAATCCTAGATGACTGCAAGGGAGCTATTGAATCCAATCTCCACTGCTGTAAAGATGAGGAAATGGAGAATGAGAGAGGGTAAGGGACTTGACCAGGGTCACATAGCTAGTAAGTGTTTCAGGCAGAATTTAAACTCAGGCCTTCCGGATTCAAGTCCAGTATGTTGCCACCTAGATGTTCTGGTTGTCCCTGCTGATTTGGGGGTGAAAAGAGGTAAGTGAAAGCAATTATGACTTTTGTCCTTATTTTATTTCATCTTATTAGATTTGGCCTAATGCTAGCCAGTTGAAATTTTTTTTTTGGAACCTTTATTCTGTTATCCACCATGTTGAACATCCCTCTCAAATTTGTGTCTTTTACAAATTCGATGAGTGTTTCATTTGTACCTTCACCCAAATCACTGATAAAAATGTTAAACACAGGGCCAAGTATAGTTACCTAGAAGGCTCTGCTAGAGATGTCAATTATAGCCTTGTTTCACTTACGATTTTGTTGCAGTTATTGACTTATTTAGCATAAAATGCTCATGTTCATGTAGGGTAAGTTGGGAATCAGCTCTCAGCTGGGTTTCCCTTGAATTCCTTACTGTGGACAATCTCTGTGACCATGCAGTGCCTTTCATCAAACACATATGTTAGGCTAAAGTTCTATGTTAGACTGGCTGATTGATTTTTTTGGAGCCAGTGTTCTTAACTATTCTTGGTAGTATTTTAATGGTTAACTGTCACTTTCTTACCTTCTAACCACATGGAATGGGGGTCAAAGAACTTGCCCTTCCCTCCCATTAAAAGCAAAATAGGAGATCTTGGAGAAGTGAGCAACAATGAATGTGCAAAAGAGTTTGGAAAAAGTTCAGCTGTGTACCCAAGGCTCTGAGGACTCACAGTGACTCAGGTTGAAGTATTAGTGTCAGGGGGCAAGGGAAAGAACATTTATGAAGTACTTGCCATGTACTAGGCACTGTGCTAAGCATTTTTCTAATATCATCTCATTTGATCCTCGTAAGTGTCCTGGGAGGTAGGTGTTATTATTAATCCCCATTTTACAGTTTAAGAAACTGAAGCAGACAGTCCGGGGTCACATAGCTAGCAAGTGTCTGAGGCTGGATTTGAACTTAGGTCTTCCTGATTCCAGGTCCAGCATACCACCTAGATGCTTCTGTATATAGATATAGCAGGAGAAATAATTGATGCTGGTATTAGGAAGGTCAGGTGACAGAGCTGAGCTTCCAGATATATGAGTCTCCAAGGTGAGAGATTATTCTGTAAGACAGAGTTGACGTGGAGAAAAGGATAGAGTGGAAGAGAGAGTAGTAATAGTAGTAATTATAGTAGTAGTGGTAGTAGTGGTGGTGGTGGTGATGGTGGTAGTAGTAGTAGTAGTAATAGCAGCCTTTTGTGAGGAAGTAAGTGACCAGAAACTCAGGAGCCCATGAAGTTAAATATGGATTACGAGTTGAGTAGGAGGAAGAAAGAGTAAGGATGTTGTAAGTCATATCCCTGGATTAAGGAGAGGGGTTTCTGTGAGGATCTTCACTTTTTGAAACCGATCTGTCTCTTTACAGTATTCTTCTTTCTCCCCTCACCCCAACACCCCTAGGGAAACTGAGGAGGAGGCTATACTGGCAGCTTGGTACTGATAGATTGCCAGACCTGGAGTGAAGAAGACCTGGGCAAGTTCCCTAACTTTTCTTATTCTCAATTTCTTCATCTATGAAATGAGAAAGGCTCAAAGGCCCTTTAAAGTCCCTTCTACCTCTAAGTCTATAATCTTATAGCTACAATCTCTCTCTCTCTCTCTCTCTCTCTCTCTCTCTCTCTCTCTCTCTCTCTCTGATTTGAAATTGGGAAATTTGAAATGGTCTTATGTCAAGGTCCAGCTGTGCCCATAGAATATATCCTAACTGCAGGCTTATTATGTCTTCAAGGTAACTTTTAAACTTTTTATTCTCAGTTTATGAAAGCCATTTTTGATGGGTTTGTATTTTTAACTGATTGAGATATTTTCCTCAAAGTCTATCTGCTTTCAAGCCCCTTTATTAAATGTCTCTGCTGAAAACAATTTCTTAATCAATGAAGTTCAGCATCCCTAGAGCATCCTATCATCCATGGTCTACAGAGCTGAGGCTCCTAGCTGAGAGGCAGATGGGGTCAGTTGTAACTGCGAATTCCTTCTCTGTGGGCTATGATGGCCATTTCGTGACTAACAGCTGTGTTTATCTTTTAGAAGTCACAGAAATATTTATTAGCAAAATTGTTGTCATAAGGAAGTATATAAAAAGTAGTTTAATATTAGGAGGTCATTTTTAAATTTTAATAGTTTATTGGCACATTTGTCTTTTCCCTACGCATGCTACTTAACTGACCCATATTCTTTCCGAAAATGGATCTCTCTGATTATATGCCCCTTTATGCCACTTTTCCTCTGCAATTCATCAATGGTAATATGTTGTAGCTTCCTCGTGTACACAGCTCTGTTGTCATTTGGGTGATCCCGTGATTCCATTCCATGGAGATGTCAAGAGATCTGGAAGAAGGCCATGCTGAATGGACCTCCGAAAGGATTAATACAAGGTAAAAAGGTACAGAGGTTAAGTGACTTACCCAAGGTCACTCAGCTAGTAAGGATCAGAAGTGGGATTAGAACCCACTTCTTCCTCACTCAAAGTCAGTCAGTCAATAAACATTTATTAAGTACTTACTATGTGCCTGAAGCTGTACTATAAGTTGGAGATACAAAAAGAGGCAAAAGATAATCCATGCTCTCAAGGAGCTGACAATCTGATGGGGGAGAACACAAACCAACAGATATGTGCAAATAAGATGTGCAGGACAAACAGGGAATAAATAAGAGAGGGATGTAGAATTAGGAGGAGTTCTTCCTGTAGAAAATAGGATTTTAGTTGGGACTTAAAGGAAGCCAGGGAGGCAGAGATGAGGGAGAACATCGAGGGATGGGGACAGTCAGAGAAAAGACTCAGAACTGAAATATGGAGTGTCTTATTTGAGGAATAGCAAAGCGGCCCGTGTCACTGGACTGAAGAATGCATAGCAGAGAGTAGGGAATAAAAAGACTGGAAAGGTGGTGTGGTGGTGGCGGTGGCGGTGGTGGTGGCGGTGGTGGCGGCAGCTGCGGCGGTGGCGGTGGTGGTGGTAGGGAATAGGTTATGGAGGGTTTTGAATGCCAAACAATGGGTTTTGTGTTTGATCCTGGAGGCAATAGGGAGCCTGGGGTTTAGTGAGTAGGAGAGTGACATGGTTAGTCTGATGCTTTAGGAAAATCAAAGGGCAGCTCTCTATCCATCCCAATATATTGTCTTACTAGGGCAGAAGTGGTGAACCTGAGGCTCGAGGCACATGTGGCCTCAGTCAAAGGGCTGCACTTGAGGACCTAGAAGGCCACATGTGGCCTCGAGGTCCCAGGTTCCCTGCCCCTGTACTAGGTGAAGAATAGATGTTCTAGAGGGATAGATAATTGGTAGAAGAATGATTGGAAACAGGAGAAGGGGAGGGGAACAGGAACAAATTCGGGAAAAAATATGGCAGGAATAAAAAGTGGCAAAGAAGGGAAACTCTTAAAATTATTGGAGCTTAATATCAGTTGAGGGGCAGCTAGGTGCCACGGTGGATAGAATGCTGGGCCTGGAGTCAGGAAGACTCAGTTTCCTGAGTTCAAATCCAGCCTCAGACACTTACTAGCTGTGTGATCCTGGGCAAGTCACTTAACCCTGTTTGCCTCAGTTTCCTCATCTGTAAAATGAGCCACAGAAGGAAATGGCAAACCAATCTAGCATCTCTGCCAAGAAAACCCCAAATGGGGTCACAAAGAGGTAGACAAGACTAGCATGATTGGACAACAACATAAAGATACATGAAAGTAATTAAATACAAGTTAGTTTGGGAGGGAGGGCACTGGCAGGTGTGGGATCAAGAAAGGCTTCATAGAGATGGTGTTTGAGTTGCATCTTAAAGGAAGAGAGGACTCTATAGGCAGAGGTAAGGAGGAAGTGCATTCCATGCCTGTGGGATGGCCAGTGGAAAGACTCAGAGATGGGGCAGTTGTTCCTGTTGGGCAGATCAGGCAACAGCCACACAACAGTCAGGCTATCTTAGACGTTACAAGTCAGATACACTGAGGTCTCACTCTTACGTTCCTCGGGTTCATTTGCATTCTGAAGTTCATGTTTTCAGCCTTCTGGGGGAAATTAACTTATCAATATGCTCCTTTGGGTGTGTCACTAGTAAGTAGGCTGCCTTAGATGGGATCCAAAATGGCTTTTGACAAATTCATTTCTATAAGCAAACAAACAAACAAACAAACAAACAAAAAACAGCTGCAAATGTATACAGTAGTTTCAGAATGCAAAGAAAAAAATAAAAGAAATAAAAAAGAAAAATGGGCATTTCATTTTTAAGGATTATTTCAAAATTCCAAGGATGGATTGTTAACTCCTTGAAGGAGGGATCTGTTTTTTGCTTCTTTTTGTAAACCTAGCGTTTAGCGCAGTGCCTGACACATAGTAGACACGCAGCATCCATTAATTTAATGATATAGTTCGATTTAAATCATAGGAAAATTTAAGGAGTGTTATATGTGTGTGTATATGTATGTGTGTTCACACACATAACCACCCTGAAAGTTTCTCCTGGTATTTAGTAAGTAAAAATTGACTGATTGAAGTAGAGAGTTATGATAATTAGGACAATTCTTACCCAATTCTTATCTTTGAGGGGCAAAGATGAGTTTTTTTTTCTGAATTACCTAAAGCAAAATTCACAAAACAACAAGAGTATCTTTCTATTAAATCATATGATTATAAAGATGTGATCTACTATGGAATATCACCTTTGGAATTCTGTCTGTTTTCTTCTCATCTTCAAGGATGACTTTGATATTGGTCAAGTATTCTCATGAAGATTTTATAGAAATGGGAAAGGAAGTATATGACCAAATAGTTACTGATATTTCCTCAGATATCTTTTTTGAGTGGTTGAGTGCAGTAATATAAGTCCTTCCTTCTCCTCCAAAAGTATTTGGTTTCCTATCCTCTTCAGATAGCTTCAGTGCCCTCAAAACTGTGCTTCCTCCAGAACAGATCATCTTTGTGTATTCTTGATATGGTCCAGTTACTCTTTGCATCTTTGTTTTATTTCTTGCCCTTTCTACTTCCTCATGTAGTACACCAGGGACCTTAAAGTTAGAGTCTAAGTGTGGTGCTTCCACTAACATTGATGGACAAGAGTTTATCACAGAAATCTTTGCAGTTCTTTCTTTTGCCAAATTTTCTGTAAGCTGGTTTTCCTTTTATTTATTTTCACACGTATAATCTTCTACAATCTACTTCTGTAAGATTTTACAAATGATTTCATATTCTAAATCAGTGTTGCCTTGGCTTTTTCTATATCTCTTTACTTGACCAGAAGCCAAGTGTTTGTTGATTAGGGCACTTTTTAGGTTCTCTTGGTCTTGTTATGGCAAATGGTTTATATATTAAACTTTGATTGAAAATTATGATAATTTTTTTTGGTTGATGTCTTCTCTTCCACACATTTCTCATTTTTGAGTCATCAATAACATGTTTAAGTTGGTCAAGTAGGAGTTGTTTTAGTTGTATTAATTATCTTTTTCTCATTGTTATTCTTTCTAGCTTATATTCATTTGCATCTTTATCCAAGATGTCTGAGTCCTGACTACACACAGACAGCTGACTCAGGAGTGCCTTCCACTTCAGTAATGAGTCATTTCCTGCTGGTTCATTTTTTTTTTATGATGCTATGTAGTGCTCACCATGTCCAGGATCTTCTAATTCTTTTCTTGGGATGGTATTCTTGATGCAAAGGCATGAGACTTCTCTGTAGTTTGTAAGTCTTTGGCCTCTCCCATTTCCTGCTTGTTGAACCATATTGCAACATGATTTTGTTTTGCTATCTTCTCCTTTGTTCCCTTTGACCTTTTCACTGAAGTCTCAAAGCATACGTCAATTAAATTTGGAGGGTCTCACCAAAGTCTTCATAGATTTTCCTTTACCTCAACTTTAGATTTTGTTGAATAAGTCATGGTTATTTTCGTAGTAGTCTTGTTTGCAAACACTTGTCACAAGAACTGCATTTATTAGATGGCCAAATGGTCTGTGAAAGGGTGTTCTTTGTAGTCTTTGGATACATAATGAAACCAAGTCAGTCTTTGCATTTGTGTATTTACATCTCCAAGGAGAACTTGTGAGCCATCCTTCAATTTAGTTGTGATTTCCTTTAGTCTTTTTGTTTATTTATAGTAAGAATGTCAAGATTTATGCGCTCATAATATGTCCTCTCACTGATTATAGAACAAAGATCTCACATTTATAGTACTGACAGCTATTAATATTTATAGATGGTCTAAAATGGATTCTTAGCACACTCTGTTCCTTTTTATTTTTTGGCCATTGTGCCATCATCACACAAAAGCCCTAGAAGTATGAATAAGACTAAAGAACACTTTCGATTTTTCTTTCATGAGTTGCCATGCCCAAAGAATTAATCATCCAATGACCAGCTTACTGGTGGTGAGCCTCTGTACTTAGCTAGGTTGGTCCTTTGAAAGCAGAATTAAATCTATTTCTGTAGCTATACTTTTGCACAAATAAAGCCAGTGGAGCTAGAATTAGAATAAAATATATGGAACTGGGGGAAAGCCTTTGCATAAAATCACCGATAATAGTCGATGTCCAAATTGATAGGGAATTGATACAGACAAACAGTATTAACAACCATTCCTCAATAAATAATTACTTGAATAATTTAAATAATTTTAAAAAGAAGAAATACAATCAACACTTGAAATGCTTTTAAATCACTAATAACAAGAGAAATTGCAAATAAAAACAATACTAGGGTGTCTATCTTGTGCTCCTCAAGGTGGTAAATATGCTCTAAGGTGGGAAATCTCATTGGAAGAACTATAGGAAGACAGATGCCCTACTCACTATTGGTGGAGAACTAGTTTAACTATTAAAGTCACTAAACTGTTCATGTACTCCAACCTAGTAGCATTACTAGGCATATATCCCAAGCATATTGACAGCAAGAAAAGATACATAATTTAGGAAAAATGATCATAGCAGTGAACTTATTTGTAGTTAAGGACTTGCCTTTCCTGATGAATTCCCAGAAGGCTTTTTTTGGTATTAGTTTTTTTTTAAAAATATTGAACTAATTCTCTCTCTCTCTCTCTCTCTCTGTCTCTCTCTCTCTCTCTCTCTCTCTCTCTCTCTCCTTTTCCCTCTCTGTCCTTTCTGTCCTGCCCAGGCTGGAAGTGCAGGGGCTACTCAGGTACTCTTTTTGCTTCTCCTTAGGTCACCTAGTGTCCCTTGATCCCTGGTATAATTTTTACCTGGTCATTATTTCAATAAATTTTTTGCATTACAATTCATATTTATCAATTTTAATCTGATTTATCTCTTACTGGTTTAGGTATCAATACCATATTTGGTATATAGTGTTCACCATGTCCAGGATCTTCTAATTGCTTCTTTTGCCATTTTTATATATAATTAATGTAATATTAATATTAATTGTTCTTTGAATGTTTGATA